AATATAAAATAATGGAGAAAAATTGTTTGATTCCTATACAAATTAAACTAGTATATCATATTCACTACTCATAATTTCTCATAATCCTCTTAACTTCTCATAATCTAAAATGAATTACTACTTAGCTGTATTTGTTGCATTTATTAGCTACATATTGTACAAAATTTGTATTTATCCTTTATATTTGTCCCCATTATGTAAAATTCCTGGTCCACCTGTTGATAATTTCATTCTTGGACATTTGGCCTCTTTATTAAACAAAGAACTTGGTGAAGCTTTGGCTCACTTGGCAAAACAATACGGTGGAATAGCTAGAGTTCATATCATATTTAGCAAACCTTTTTTATTGATTTCCGATCCAAAACTTGTCCAACAAGTATTGCTGAATCGCCCTTATGATTTTTCAAAGTTCTTCCACAATAAAGCCAAGGAATTGTTTGGTGAAGGTATTTTTATTGCTGAAGGAAATTCTCATAAACGACAAAGAAAAATTATGAATCCTTCATTCGCTTTTGCCAATATCAAAGTATTTATGGATGATTTCAGTGTTACAATCTGTTAAAAAATTAATCCTTATAACTTAATTATTTCTATTAAGGAAATGGTTCCAACGTTTGTTCAAGCTGGTCATAAATTAAAAGATATCTGGATGAAACAAATTGGTAATAAGAAAGAAGAAAGAATTACCATTATTGATTTAGTTCCAAAGATAACTTTAGATGTCATTGGCCTTGTTGGTATGCATTAGTCTATATTCATTCTACACCTTAGATTTTTAAAATGACATTTCTAATCGTAATCATAATTACAATTATATTATTTTTAATAGGATTTAATTACGAATTTAATTCTATTACTTCAAAATCTTCTGAATTAGCTCAAGCATATAAAGCAATAGTTGGTCGTAACCCTTCGCCTTTATACGCGGCTTTTGAAGAACTATTTCCGTTTATTAGGAAATTTCCAACTTCCTATAACAAGCAATTTGATGATTCTATTAAAGTTATCAAAACTATTTCTGAGAAATTAATTGTCGTGCTGACGACCAACACCCCTGGTACTGGATCGGGTTCATGTGACGTGACTGCGTCGCATGAATGGCGT